AGGTATTCCTTGAACTGAAAAATTTTCTACTTTGACATAGAATTTTTTTATGTCTGATAGATGTTATTCACACTTTGATCAGTAAAAAACTGGTCTGGAATGAGTTTATTTTGGAGTCAGTGCTATTTCCGGAGGGTGTTTGGCAATCTTTTGTAGATTCATTTTAGTATATGGAAGATATGTACCTGTTTGATGTTACTTTTATAATCTTACCAAGCATTTTAGAAATTCATAAAAAACAGATCTTAAGTTTTTTCATTGTACTTTTTACTTATAAACTACTATGAAATTGAGAAGCCAGAGAAGTCTAATCTCAGATTTTTCTACAGAGTTACAAGTATATTGTCAAAACATTGTAACATACTAGATTCGTTTCTCACAAGTTCAATGTCTGTGAGGCAGATGGAGAAATAAATTAATACCTAAAATCACTGGCCTCAAACTTCCTGAGATGGAAAAATGTGTGATACAGATTTAGATTTTATAAGTTTCAAAGTCATTGAGGAATGTAGAAGTTGGGGAAAGAGTAGAATATGTTCAGATACTGTCATTTCGAATTAAGACTCTTATTTTAATAGCATTTTGTATTGTCTTTGAGGCCTGTGGGTATTTTAAAAATTAATAAGTCATGGGATTTTATTTTTAAAAAGTGTCTTGTTTAAATTAGAAAATGGCTACTTTCAGGGAATGAAAGTAGGGGGAGATTATGGGAAATGGAATGGGCCTAATTTTGTTATATTCATATATGAATATGTCACAATGAATCCCATGATTATGTACAATTATAATGCACGAAAAAAATTTTTTAAATAAACAAAAAAGTAGCTACTGGCAATGACAATATGTAATGTGTCACTTAAGCACCTTTTAAATGGTAAAGAGAATTACTTATCTGGACCACAGTGAGCTTCTAGTGCTTTACATAAGTAATTGAACAACATTTATTTAGCCAGTGTGGCCACTTTGAAGTGTGGGCAATAACAAAGTGTGGGCAAGACCAAAATATCAAAGTGTTTTTTTTATGTTATAGTTATGCTTGTACAATTCTCTTCTGTGTTAATAAATGAAAGTGGTGACTGGAAGACAATATGTTGTGAACAAAATTAAAGACTACGTTTTATTACAACAAATAGAAGACTATAATAAAATAAAAAATATTTTTTTCCTTCTTGGAGATTAGGGAAAATCCCATTCTGCTAAATAATATCTAGTCAAACTGGAACTAATATGTGAAGCAGCACACTTTCAAAGCTAGGATATCATAACATCAGCTGCTAAGTTTATTGGAATTAAGATGCAGCTGCAGCTGTCCTTGGAGTACAATTACATTTATGATTGTTACAGCTATAATAAACTGAACTGATAGAGAATTGATGAAGATTAAAGAAGAAATCAATGCATTAGAAAAACAGAAAAGTTGTGGACTTGGTAAGTAAATCCAAGGTCAAAATATCCAGATGAGGTCAGTAGGCATACAGATGAGGAAATAGACTCTTGAAGTTCAGGGGCTCCCCAAGTGGCCACATGGTAAGCTCAGGACATGCTGAATCAGTGGGGGCTGCTGCATTTTCTGTATCATGACACTGCCACTCACCATCTAGCCCATTAGTCTAAATGTTGGAGAACAGTGTAAACTCTTATTGGCTGGAAAGTGGCTCATCAATGATATTGCCAGAGACTTTACTATTGTTTCAAGAAATTGACCTAGGAAATAGTAGAAATCAATCGTCAGTTGGGCCTTGCTGGAAGCTTGAACAATAAATAGGGTATACAGCTTCAGTACAACTTAGGACATTATAACCAAAGATTTATTAGCAGAAGAAGTCATGAGCTTAGACCTATAGGACTTCAGAGAATTGAAAGAACAAAATCTGAAATTGCCAGTTAACCTTTTGACAACACGTCTTCAAAAGCTGAACGCTGCAGTGGTTCTGTATTTCATTTATTCCGTTGGACTTCCATGTATATCCTTGACATTTTCTGAGTTCACCACCAAGTTAGTTCGATTTGCAGTGCAACATCAAATAATGTTTCAATGCCTGTTATCATTTTTAACAATGAATGGGGGGTGGAAGTGAGCTTTATTGAGTTAAAGTAAAACAGATTCTTTTAAAAGAGGGGGAGGAGAGATGCTGCCCATAGTAACTTCCTTCCAGGACTATGGTGTAGTTAGTGGGAAACACTATCTCAGCCAGCTGATCAAGCTCAACATCAATGTCATGTGGATAATATATAGTCTTGATATGACACAGTAAGTGAGAATGTCACTGGCCTACTTGGACTTATCCCAAAACCACCACCCCAGTCTAATCATGAGAAAGTCATCAGACAAATCCCAGCTGTGCTAGAAAAACTGATTATTATTCTTTAAAACTCCCAAGATCATAAAAATAATAAAAAAACTCTAAGATATAATCATGTTAGGAGCTCAGCAAAAAATGAGATGGTTAAAATATTTGTGGTGTTTAAACTTGAAGATGGTACTGGGCTTTGGTGGGGGGTGGGTGGGAGGGTTGGCTATAATTCCTATCTCAAAATACCTTCTGGGCCTTTGGTCTTTTTCTTTTCTACCGCTGCCCCCACCACTTTTTTAAGCCTGGAGGAAGCACAACTTATTATAGATAGAATACCACTTTTTCTCACTCTGAAAAGTACTGTTCTCTCTCTCAGTGGTGATGAGTGCAGCCAGGATGTGGGCCTTTCCAGTGTTTCCAGGCTTTTCTTCCACCTGTGGGTCTCATGCCTATTAAACTGTGTGGAAGTAGCTGACATACTGAGTCAAGTTGTGGGGGCTCATCCAGGAACACCAGGAGCTCCACCATTTTGTTTTTTTTAAACAATGTTTCAATTCATTCCCCATCTGACTTGAGGTCCATTGTGAGTTTTCATTGCTCTTTTCAAACTTTCCCAGGTTCCTGTTGCTCCTCATTTATCTCAAACATTATCTCATTGTAATGTTGCTCCTGTGGGGGTGGGGTGGGGCCAGAAGGAGGTTGGGTCCTTACACAGGGCAGTCTAGGATACCAATGATGTTTCCTGACCATGTGGAAATTGAAGTCAGGAGCCTGGAACCTTGAACCACCTCTGTACCTCTTGACTACCCTAGGACTGTAGCCCTTCTTTTTACTTTGTTTTCCCAGTTGAGGCAACTTGATGCCCAGAGAAGGGAGAGGCCCAGATATACTCATACAGCTAGGAAGGTGGCAGAGATCAGATTAGAGCTCATGATTGATGCTGGATCCAGTGCTAGCTTTCATTTTGGAGATGACTGAGGGCTGAACACCTGCAGTGTCCAGCTAGAAATATCAAGGCATCTACAGTAGGATGCTCACATAGGCATTGCCAAGGATGTTTCCTGTTATCCTATAAAATCAAATTCCTGGAGCACTGCTGGGAGGTAGCACACAAGGTTGTGTGCTCATGCACACATGCACATCTCCTTTTCGACCTTTGAATGACACGAGTATGAAAAATATTTTACCTTCCTCTTTGACTCTAGTCTGAGAGGGCATTGTGAGGGTTCTAGGGAAAGAAAAAATCATCTGAACAACAACTGCTTCTTGCCTAATTCCTGCCAATTGATGCCATGGAGAATTTTGGACCTGGATTTGCCAGTTCTGGTAATTTTGCAAAACAATTTTGAAATTATTTTGCAAAATAATTTAAAATGTGAATCTTCCTCAATTTTAAATCTTGGCAAAAGTGATTTTTTTTGGTATTATTTTTGTGAACACAGTATGGACTACAACACAAGTCTCTGACTTCTGGATTGAAACCACTGGACTTACAAATGAAGTCCTTCTTTCGCTCTCTTCTTTGCCTACCACGAATGCAAATCATCCATTTAGAAAACACAAGTACCTAAATTCTTCAGTAAAAGCAAAACATGACCAATAACTAGGTACAAAGGAAAAAGTTACAGAAAGTATCTTATACCTGCCCTGACCCCTGTTATATTGAAACTTAGGGGGTAAATTATTATTTTTTAAATTTGGCTAGAATTAATTAGATCTATTTTCTGTGAAATATTAATTTTAAGAAAATTGTTTTATTGCTTTTTTTGAATTTTGTCTTTGAGGTATTATCTGAATTATAAAATTATTTTTTTTGTGAAGAGTTATAGGTTGGCAAAAACCTATCTTTTTTTATTTTTAAAGTTTAGGTTCTTTTTTTTATATTTTATCATTTTATTAGGAATAATTTCAAATGGGTTATGAAGAAAACTTATTGTGTTTGCTGAGTTTTCAAAAAAACTCTTAATGAAGATATGTTCATCAATAAACAAAACACCAGCAGAACTATCATATACTGGGCAAAGAGTCAGGCTGATACCAAAAGCAACATGCAACATAAAGAAGATAATAATATAAAGAAAGACAATCTGCTGAGTATTAAAAGCCATCTCAATATGAACTCTTTGCAACCAGCACAGAATTAGCTATCAAATCCAAACCACACCAAGGTTAAGTTTGGCTGACGGAAGCCAGGAAGTCAATAATAGGGAAAAAATATTAAGTTCCTCAGTGCAAGATAGCTGAATAGTGTTTTGGAGCATTTCCCTGGCTGGTACAAGAAGTATTAGAAAATCCTTTTGGCAAGGGATAGAAATAAATACAAATGGAATGCTACATGTTCAAATCAGCAGACTGTCCCAGGAATGATACAGGTATCAGTAAAGTAGCAAGGGGATAACTTTAAAACATTATTTGTTGTGGGCTCAAAAAACATTCAAAACTGATTTATTTAAAGGTGTCACAATAGCTATGTCCAGGCATTTAGGTTTAAAGGAAGTCAAAATTAAAAGAGGATACTTTTTTCCCCAAGAATTTCTTCAAAACCAAGCATATTGCTAAAGAGCAACATTATACTTGGTAAACAATAATTGGCAACAAAATAAGTTTAAACGCTGTAATATTCTGCCCAAACCAGTCCCAGATACAGTTTAATAACCAAGATGCAAACTAATTTTGTTGTAACAAGCCTAGACCAATTCTATCAAAATGTGTCCTTGGTTAGATATCCAGTTTTATTTAACGTTTTGAAAGCTCGTTTGACAGCCAATCAAGTCCCTCATACAGACCAGTTCCTTGTGTAGCACAAGTGGCTTGAACATACCATGTTCTGTTACGGAGAGACTGAAGGCCTAATTTATCTGTCATTTCGCTGATAGCCATAGCATTTGGCAAATCCTGTTTGTTTGCAAAAAGCAGCAGCACTGCATCTTGCAGCTCATCTTCCTCAAGCATTTTCTGCAGTACTTGGGCTCCTTCCTGAATTCTTTCACGATCATTGCTATCTACCACAAAAATAAGACCCTGGGTATTCTGGAAGTAATGCCTCCAGAGAGGCCTAATTTTATCTTGACCACCAACATCCCATACTGTGAAACAAATGTTCTTATACTCTACTGTTTCCACATTAAAACCAATGGTAGGAATGGTGGTGACTATCTCCCCTAACTTCAGTTTATACAGAATGGTCGTCTTGCCAGCAGCATCCAATCCAACCATCAAAATACGCATCTGCTTCTTGCCGAAGAGGCGGGAGAACAGAGAAGAGATGGTGAGGCCCATGGCGGTAGTGGCACTTGCGATGGGCAGAATAAGGGGTCGGGGCGTCCCTGGGCCTTCTCCTTTCACACTCCCAACAAACTGAGCGCAAGGGAAAAGAAAGACCTGAGGCAGGAAGGGGGCGACAGGGATCGCTCGTTGGCCGGCGTGACGGGTGAAGCTTAGGGACAGGAATTAGCGGGTGGAGGACCGGCTTGGCGACTCAAAGTTTAGGTTCTTAAGACATCTACTCATAATTCAATAAATTGTTGATTTTGAAGATGGAGAGGTGCCATCTAATGGTGGCTCAATAAAGCTAAGCATTTGATCCTTAGTTTTCTAAGGAACAAAAAGACAAGTATGTCTTAACTGTGCCTTGATAGAGATGCTGTTACAGACTCAAATTTATCAGCTATGAGGACATATCTTGACTGGTTTAGGGTTTGGAGTTTCCCTTAAAAGATTTAGAGTTGTGAGAATTTCATTTCATACTTTTTGAAAGTGGGATGGAGAAAGCATGGTTGAAATCTTATCATTAACTGGATTCCCACATAGCTCTAAGATTGAAACTTCTAAGTGAGTGTCTTCCTTTTTCCTTGCTGGGCATGGTGATCTAAGCATGAGCAGCTTGAATGGCTTTTGTGATCAGTTTCTGGACTTGTGCAGATGGGAGCCAATAGTCTCATGGAAGATGCCAAGCGTAACCATTTTGTAAAGATAGAAATCAAAGTCGAGATACTTGAGTTAAAAATCTTTATGTCTCACATCAAGTATTTACTTATCCTGTTTGTATTAGGCAAAAGGTTATTTTTAGTCCGAACTGCATTGTTGTTCACACAAATGAAACCAAAGTCTTATTTGTGTCATATTGTTTATTTTGAAAAAATACTACTACCCGAAAATGCATTTTGCAAAACTTTACAAACATGATTATTATATAAATATAAAATGATAGCATGTCAATGATTTTATTCAACTCATTACTTAATGAGGGAAATAAAAAGGTGTTAATAATGGTTCAAATGAGAAACAAGGAATTTACAAATAAATGAATAAAGGAATATTAAAATTTCTGGGTTAGATATAAAACTGGTTAATGTCCTATCATTAACCTTTGGATTATCTATTTCACTAAATAAAATTGTGCCTTTACTGGATAAAATTTTCCAAAATTTTACATGTACTTTTCCTAAGTCCTTTGGAGTCTTTTATTAGTAGTAAAAAACTGTTGATTAAGCAGAAAACATTTCTCTAAATATTAGGTGGGTCTATGCAGTTGAAAGTAACTGACGAAGAATTAGTATTACCAAAATGGCCGTATTATGAAAAGCGTTATACAAACTCAGTGCAATCCTCATCTAAATACCAATGACATTCTTTGCAGAACTAGAAAAAAAAAGAGTTGTAAAGTTCATTTAGAAGTATAAAAGACCCAGAATAGCCAAAGCAATCTTGAATAAGAAGAGTGATGCTGGAGGCATCACAATACCTGATTTTGAATTACACTACAGAGCTATAGTAGCAAAAACAGCATGGTATTGACACTAAAGCAGATACCAAGATTGGTGGAATATAAGATACAGAGACAAATCTGCTTAGATACAGTTTTCTGATATTCAACAAAGGTGCCCAAAAAACATTGGAGAAAAGATAGCCTTTTTAGTAAATGGTGCTGGGAAAACTGGATCTCCTTGTGGAGGAGAATGAAATTTAATCACTATCTCTCATCTTGTGCAAAAGTCAAATCAAAGTGAATTAAAGACCTAGGGATTAGACCTCTGCAATTGCTAGAAGAAAATGTAGGCTCAATACTTCAACGTATTGGTATAGGCACCAAATTTAACAAGAAACCTAAAATGCAATAAATAAATCAATAACTGGAATGGTATCAAATTAAAAAACTTCTGCACAATGAAGAAAACAAGCATGGAGAGAGCCTACAGCTTGGAAGAAGAGCTTTGCCAGCTGTTCTTCAGATAGGGAATTCATATCCAGAATACATAAAAAACTCAAAGAACTTAACACCCAAACAAACAAATAAACAAAAAAACAACCCAGTTAATAATTGGGCAAAAGAACTCAGCAGGCACTTCTCAAAAGAAGAAATGCAAATGGCCAATAAATATATGAAAAAAATGTTCAACCTCTCTAGTAATTAGAGAAATGCAAATATAAATTACACTGAGATTTCATCTCACTCCAGTCAGAATGGTAATCAAGAATACAAATGTAATAAATGTTGGGTTAGAATGTGGGAAAAGAGGTACACTCATACATTGTTGGTGGGACTTAAAATTAGTATAACCATTCTGGAAAGCAGTATGGAGATTGCTCAAAAAACTAGGAATGGAACTACAATTGACTCAGCTATCCCATTCCTTGGTATATACTCAAAGGATTTTAAATCAGCATACTATATGGATATAGCCACATCAATATTTATAGTAGCATAGTTACACAATAGTCAAATTATGGAACCAGCCAGGATGCCTGTTGAGAAACAAATGAATAAATAAAATGTGCTTTATATACACAATGGAGTTTTACTCAACCATAAAGAAAAATGAATGAGGACATTTTCTGGTAAATGGATGGAACTGGAGACTGTCACACTAACTGAAATAAACCAGACCCAGAAATGCAAGGTTTGAATGTTTTCTCTCATATGCAGAAACTGAGTAAATTGAGGGAAAAAAAGGAGGAGGGGGGACCAGAATTCCTTGAAAATAAAGGTCAGATCTGTGAAGGGGTTTGACAGTGAGGGAGGAGGAAAAGGGAGGATCAGTGTAATGAATGTGATCAAACTATCCTGTGTACGTAGGTGAACATACCACAGTGAATTTCACCTTTATGAATATCTATAGTGCCTTATTAAAAAAAAATTACATAAATAGAACAAAATCAGTAAAGTAAATGGAACAGAAAGAAAGAGAAGGGGAGGAAAAGGGGTAATGCTGGGGCCTGAATTTTAGGGTAAATTATATTCCTTAGTTATATAATTGTAACAAAATGAATTCCAATATTTTATATAACTATAATGCACTAATAAAAAAGAGTTTATACCTGAGGTAGACTCTTACTGGAAAAAAAACTTCCATACACTTTTTTGCCTTATATCCAAGTATTGGATGTTCATTCTTAAATTAATCATTATATGAGCCTCATGTCTGTACTCACAAGCTTTGGGAGCCACCAGCGGTGGCTATACTACTTAAAACTTTATGGAAAAAGACTTTAAAAATTATATAAACCCACAAGGATAACTGGAAGAGGAGAGGAAACAATAGTTATGCAGTTTTAGAGCCAGCAGGCAGATGGATGAATAGTAATTGGCTTTGCTTACCCAAGACAGCTTAACTCTAAGCCTGCTGCAGGTCTAAACAGCCAGACCTGCCCAAAAAATGCACAGGAAAGTACAGACAGTGGGAGCCCCCGGAGCCTCTATAACTTTTGATGGTAGATGGGCAACTTGATGGGGAGAAAATTGCTCCAAAAAAGCCTATGGAATCATCTCCCACTCTGCCTTGTGTGACTGCTTTTCTTACCCCTATCCTTTCAGATCTGTCTTGCATTCTCTCTGCAAATCTAAAGCTTGATCTTTTGACCAATGATGTGAGGCATGTTTGAGGGTAAGGCTCCTTGAGGAAAATGGAAGTAAGAGACCAGCTATTGACTGAATGCTGATATTCTAGTCCTTCTCATGTTGGGTCCCAGAAGTCTTGGTCTTTATATCTGTTCAATGGAAACTGTCCCTTTATTGATGAATCTCTAATGATGACGGTGTATAGTTGAGAGAGTAAACATGCTATCAACACGAATATCTACAGAGAAGCCAGGTATCCCTTTATTCATCAACATCTTGGAAAGGTGTACTTATTCCTGTCTCTGTATGTGGAAGAAAATAAAGTCTGTCCCAGGAATTTTTCATAAATAAATATATTTTTCAGAAATACATATATATTTGTGGGTGTACACACATTAGTGTCATTTATATATATACATATACATGTGTATGTATTCACAGTATCAAGTATCTCTTGAAAGCTACAAATGAAGTTCACAAGAGTAGCAGACTATGGGTAGGACAAGCATATGGCTGGTGGGGCCACTGTGAGGGAGACTTATTTTTCACCATTTACTTTTTTGTTTTTTTAAAAAAATATTGTGCCACGAACATACACAAGTTATTTAAAGGTAAATAAAACAATGCATTCCTTAAAGATTAAACATAAATAAATAAAAATAAAGGTAATTGTATTAGCTATATTCTGAGATACTATTAGTTTTTTCATTTGATAATGTTTCCACTCACACATTCATTGCAGCATATTCACAATAGGCAAAATAATCAACCTAGGTATCTATTTATGAATGAGTGGTTACAGAAAATGTTGTATATCTACATGGTGGAATATTATTCAGCCATATAAAATAATGCAGTCATGTCATTTGTAGCAACATGTATAGAACTAAACTATGTTATTATATTAAGTGACATAAGTCAGGTGCAGAAAGACAAATACTACCTTTTCTCACTTACCTTTAGAAGATAAAAGTTGATCTAAAAACGTAGAGAATAGAATAATGGTTATCAGAGCTTGGGAAGGGTGTTGGGGAGATAGGGTGGAGAGAGGGTGGTAAATGAATATAGGGATGTAGTTGGTTAGCAAGAATAATTTCTAATGCTTTGTAGCACATTGGTATAACTACAGTTGACAACAATTAATTGAAACCTTTAAAACACACACACACACACACACAGAAGTGACAAATGTTTGAAGTGATAGATATGACAGTTAACCTGATCTGATCATTACAATTGTATAGATGTATTGAATTGTCCCAGTGTGCTCCATAAATATGTACACTTATTATGTTGTCAGAAACAAAATATATTAAAAAAATTTCTTCTATTTTTATCATTTGTTGTTAAAGTTTCAAATTAAAATTCTATTTTGGTATGAAAAAAGGAAAAGTTCAGTTTTTATAGTACTTACTAAATACAAACAACACAGATTAAAAATTCTTAGATGCTAAATAATTGATGATATGAATGATGAAACTTCTCCTGTTCCATGGGAGTAATTCTATAGTTTTAGAATGCCCCTTAGTAAATGTAATAGAATTCAGGTAATTCTAAACTTGAAAACCTTGCTCTATTAGGATCATATTTTAGGTATTAATTACCTGGTGGTCACACCGTGGGAAGATGCTTGAT